TCTATTCTCTTCCATTGATCTATTTTCTATCCTTGCATGAATACAATATTGTCTGTGGAATTTTGGACCTGACTCGAGCTGGATGATGAGAGCTGATTGCTAAATTTTTAAGCATCAGATCAGCTCCCCCATCCCTGAGCTTGGTTGTTAAACATTTACTAGCATATCAGTGTCATGACTATTACAGTAATCTGTAATTCTGTACATCTTGAAACCAGATCCTATCTTTCAACTTTCTTCTTCAAGAACGTTTTGGCTATTTTTGGTCCTTTGCATTTCTAAAAGTTGTCAATTTTTACAGAAAAATTCTGCTGGGATTATGTTCAATCTATACAGTAGTCTAAGAAAAAATTGACATCTTCCAATCCACATATATGGCATATCTCTTCCACTTACTAAGTTCTTTAATTTCACTCTGCAGTATTTTCACTGTGCTTTCACTATGACTTACACATCTTTCGTACATTTAAGTATGATTTTTTTTTTGGTGCTACTGAAAATCGTAGTTGTTCTACTTATTTGTTGCTATATCGAATAAGCAAGGGGTTACTTGAATGTTCTGGGGGTTGGAAGCTGGAATAATTTGGAGACTTATTCACTCATATGCTTTGTGGCAGAGCAGGAATGAACACTGGGACAGTCAACCAGATTCTCCCTGTGGTTTGTGCTTTGCAGCATGGTGAACTCAGGTAGTAAGGCTTCAACATGGCAATACATGCCTCCTGAACCAAGTGTTTTGGTGAACAAGATGGAAACTGCATGCTATTTATGACCTCCCTCAGCTGTCACATAGCATCACTTGGTAGTATTCTATTAGTTGAAGCAGTTGCAAGCCTGCCCAGTTACAAAGGGAGGGGACCCAGGTTGAACTATTAGTAAAAGTAATGTCAAGTAATTTGTAGCCGCACTTTAAAACTGCCATGTACTTTTAAAATTTTATTTTCAGTATTTTGTTGTTAGTATAGAAATATCTGTATGTTGACTTTATAGCCTAAAGGTTAGCACTTGCTAGTTTTAGTCAGCTTTCTTTTTTCTGGGGGGATTTCTTCGAGTTTTCTAAGGTAAACAATTACGTTGTCTGCAAATAAAGACAGTTTTACTTCTTCCTTTCCAATCTTTATACTATTTGAATGCTTGTTTATTTTCTTATTGTTCTAGGCTAGACCACCAGTAGAATGACGAATATAAGTGGTGAGAGTGAGGAACATTCTTGTCTTGCTCTTGACCGGAGGGGGAAAAAACATTCAACATTTCACTATATGTATTTTTGAAGATGCCCGGTATCAGGCTACACTTCCTTCTATTCCTAGTTTGTGTAGTTTTTATCGCTAATTTGGTGTAGTTCAGAGGGAACGGTTTCATCAAAAGAATCATTCTGGGGCAGGGGGTGGAGAGGATGGTTTAGGGATGAAACTGTTCCACCTCAGATTATCAGGCATTAGATGAAGTATGCAACCTAGATCCCTTGAATGCGCAGTTCACAATAGGGTTGGTGTTCCTATGAGAATCTAATGCTGCAGCTGATCTGACAGAAGGTGGAGCTCAGATGGTACCTGTCGCTCACCTGCTTCCTAACAGGCCATAGATCTACATCAATCCACGGCCCAGGGGTTGGGGACCTCTGATGTAGTAGTTTGCCAAATGCTTTTCTACATTTATAGAAATGATTAGGTGGGTGTTTTCCTTTATTCTGTTAATATGATGAATTACACTGATTAACTATCTTCTTCTTTTTTTTTTTTTTTTGAGACAAGGTCTGACTCTGTTACCCAAGCTGGTGTGGAGTGGTATAATCTTGGTTCACTGCAGCCTTGACCTCCTGGGCTCAAGTGATCCTCCTGCTTCAGCCTCCTGAGTAGATGAGACTACAGCTGTGCACAACCATGCCTGGCGTTGTTGTTGTAGAGATGGGTAACTGCTGTGTTACCCAGGCTGGTCTTGAATTCTAGGCTCAAGTGATCCTCCTGCCTTGGTCTCCCAAAGCATTGGGATTACAGGCACAAGTCTAGCCTAAATTCCTTTTATGTTCCAGTTACCATACTAGCTGCTATGTCTTCAATGGTTATGTAGCTTTTATAGTGCATTGGGGTAAAAATACGCTAAACATTAAATAACTAGTCATTAATTACATTGTTCTGTCTCACCCACCAGAGTAGCTGGGACTACAGCTATTTATCTCTTTAATTTGGTCTATTTTTGATTCATGTATTTTGAACCTCTGTTATTAGATGTATACATCTAATACATGTTCCTAATGAATTGGCCCTTTTATGTTTATCAAATGACTCTTTAGAAATACTTGTCTTGAAGTCTACTCTGTCTGAGATTACTACAGTCACTCCAGCTTTCTTATGATCCATGTTTACACGTATATTTTTCTATCCTTTTACTTTCAATCTGTGTCTTTTTATTTAAAAAACTGCATATGGTTGAGTCTTGCTTTTTATCCAGTCTGACAGTTTTTACCTTTTAATATAAGCGTTTAGTCCATTTACATGTAATGTAATTATTGATACTGCTGCTTATACATCTACCATTTTGCTTGTTCTATCTCTAGAAAAAATTCTTTATTTTCTGACTTTTTTTGGGTCACTCAAATAAGTTTTATTATTTCCAACTGGAAAATTGTGTTTCCAGCTATTGCTCATAATGGCGATTTAAGGCTGAGTTAAAAACATGGAAATAAAAAAGTAATTAAATTCACTTAGAGCAGTATTTGTCAATAGAGACTGCTAAAGCTGGTTATGGAGACCCAAATGAGAAGCAGATATATCTTGTAACAAAATTATAAAACATGAATTATGATTGAGACTCTAAAGCTGACTCTGCAAGCATTTAGATAGTCTTCTTGAATCAGCTGTAAGGTGTAGATCTTTGTACCATTGTGCTTCCTTCAAGGTACTCCTACATGTGAGCAGTTTCTACATTCACTTATCTGTTCAAAATGTATTTCCTAAAATGCCTACTATGTTCAAGGTGAGGTAACTACTATGAAGGATAAAACTTGAATTTTAAAAGTTCCTATTTCAGTAACATACAATTTACTTAAAGGGATAAGTACAAAAGTAATTCTTATAAACTGCAAAGTGTATCTGGCATATGGTAAATATTTAATAAATGTTGATAAAAATTTAAATTCTTGTTATACATGATGTGTTATATACCATAAATACATATAGCTTTTTAAAAAGATCTAATGTCATTTGGAAGGACGTCATTTAGGATTGAAGCGGGGCAGGTAGATCAGAAGGTATTTCACGAATGAGGTAGCGTTTAAGTTGTTCCTTGACAGATGGCTGGAATTCTGACAGGCAAAGATGTGAGAAGAAGGTGTATCAAGAAAAGAAATAATGAGTAAATATATGGAGGTGGGAAAATCCAGGGGAGTATTTAAGGACTAGTGAATATTTCAGTTTACATGTAAACATAGGGTTCCTAAGGATAACAGTGAATAAAGCTGAAAAGTAGGTTGGATGCTGGCCCCATCAAGCATCTTGAATGTCAGAATAAGGAACTGAAATGAAAGTTAATTCAGAAGGCAATAGGCAATCAGTGGATTATCAATTGGGGAATTATGTGATCAGAGAAATGCTTTATAAAACTTTATCTGGAAGAAATACATAAAGTCTAGAACACTGGAGAGACTGGGGAAAAACTTCCCCACCAACTACACCATGAATGATTTAAAATTCGGCCCTCAGGACATCTGAAGCTTGGCAGAACTGTCTCCTCAGGGCCAGTCACGTCCAGCAATGAGGAGTTATAAATTTTTATCCCAGTATGCTATACAAAGTTTTATTATTTTATAAGTGTGTATGATGTGGAAAAAGCACTAAACTAGAGAACCAGGAAAGACTGGGATGGGGTAATTATAAATATGTTATGGGCAGTCAAACAGTCCTTGTGGTAATGATGCTGGAAACAGTTGGAGACAAGTGGGTGTGAGAAACATCACGAACGCAGAATTAACAGATTTTAGAGACTGACTGCATGTCCAGTAAATAGGCTTAAAAATACCTGTAGAGAAACGGCAAGGTTTAAAAAGGTAATAGGTAGCAAAGGTAGTGATAGAGGTCATCAGAGTTGAGGAGAAAGAGAAATTCTGAAATTCAAGTAACCAGCATGGAAGCTGAAACAACTAAGGATGATGGCCAGGAAAAATTATAACCATCTTTCCTTATTAGTACCTCCAAAGCCCTTGGGAAAGGTAGTATAAGTCTCTTAGGAATAAACGGGATTGCTCAGGAATTTTATGCATACTCACATCCTTTTCTTTGGTTTCTGGCACTAACAAAATATTGTTAAGGGTATGGGTCAGAAAGACTTAGGAAGGCACACACCATTTTCAAGGAAATGGTTGCACTTAGGCCACTGCTAACACTAGAATTGCAGAGGAAAAAGGGAGGACAGGCACGAGTATGAGTGAGAGATGGATAATTTTTTTCACTTAAAAAAAAAACAGCTCTCCTATGATACAATTTATGTACCATAAAATTCCCTCTGCCCCTTAAGTAGCTTTTAAAGTGTACAATTAAGTGATTTTTAGTATATACACAGAGCTGTGCAACCAGGGATGCCATTCCACTTCACTTGAACTGATGGGGTAATAAAAATATTATGTTTTTTAATTAATATTACATATTACAGAAACGATTTCTAACCACAGAAACTTCACAACACTGAGCTGAAGCCACAAATATACTGACTTATTTAAATTTCACAGAAAGGACTGAAAGCTCTACTATCTTCAGGACACGGAAAAGGCATTCTATTTGGAAATAAGACATAATATTTAGAAAGAAAAGAAGTAGTAGTTACTGCTGGATTTTTTTTTTTTTTTCAAGTAAAATATTTTGTCTGTTAGCTGTACCCTACAGGATATCCAGCTATAGAACATTTAGTTTTGGTAATGTGATGAAATTAATCACTTTTATAGCATGACCCAGGTGACCTTGGGCTCCAAACCTCCAGCTTTCACCTCTTTTGGACCTTATCTGTACCTTTATGGAGATTCTCTAGTGGCTCCAGGACTCCCCTCCGGAAGGAGGCCATGGGGTCTTGAACACAGGACCGAAGACTCAGCATGCTCTGCAGGTGAGGTTCCCGAAGAAGTTGCTCCCGATAGGCTGTCAGCTGAGGTGAGCGGCAGAGCAAGGCAGCAACATTGTGGACAAATTCTGGCACCAAGCAGGTATAGGCATTATCTGCTTGACAATAGTGATAGGCAACCACCTACAAAAGAAAGACGAGAATGCAAACAGGCTTATCAGTAGTAAGAGCAATAGCTATGATTATCAGCTTTGAGTGATTAGACTAGAAATCACTTAATATTTCAGTATTACATAATACTTTGTCTCTTCATTCCTCAACTTTTTCAAGTAAATATAAAAGCTGCTAACTCAGAAAATGTCTGATTTATGTAAGATCAGAAATTTGATACACTACTGCTATTGTATACATATGATATCATAACCCAGAATAAAATTTATAAATAAAAATTGAGTTTTCCTCTGGATTATAAATAGGAAGCAAGCCTGAAAAAACTGATATCACTGACATTTATTCAGCATGAAGCAGTATAGGAAAGAGACTAATATGTAAACAAAGCATTGGGAATGAAATAATCCAAGAAAAATTATGTTAGTCTCAACAAACACATATACTTCTGTCAATTTTTGGATTACAGGTGTGTTATAAACTAAGCCTTATAAAAATAAAATAATTCAGATTTTAATTTTAGCATTAAATGTTTTCTAAGCACCCAAGCAGAGACAGAAAAAGGGTATCAGAATTAGATAAAAGGAGAAGGGGTGAAATTTTTGTTAGATGTAGGTCTTAAATTCAAAGAACAAAGAAAATTTATAAGCTTCATATCATCCAGGGTCTGGGCTGACTGTCTAGGATCTGGAGTTTTAGGCTCTGTTTTTTTGTTTGTTAGAATCTGCACAGCAGTCACCCCATGTCTTCTGGCTGTTCTCTTTGCTTCCAGGGCAAGTACAAAGGGTGATTTTAATCTAGACCACTTCTCTGGCTCATTACTACCCAGAAAAGAGATTGGATTGTGTATAAAATACAAAACTGGAAGGGGGAGATTCAGCTTGAATGTAGAGAAAGCACTCAGCATGGTGCTCGGCATCTAGTAAATCATAGCAATGTTAGCTGATGTCACCATTATCATTACCATCTTTATCCTCCTCACTACCATCATCATCACCACCACCATTCTTAAGGATCTGTATACTATCTTTTTCAGCTACTAGCTTTGGGCCTATATATTGGCAACTGAAATCTGTCCTGGGGCATCCATAGACATACTACTGGAATTCCAGCTCTTCAGGCGTCTCTCAGAGAGCATCATCTCTAATTCATCAGGTGTCTCTCAGTCATCTACTAAGGAGTTCTTTTTTGAAAAGACTCTTAATCTACTGGTATGGTCTTCCTAGCTCTTTTAACATGTTGGAAATGTCAATATATTTTAAACACCTGAAATCCTTCTCATTAAACATAAAATAACCCCCAAACAACACAGGAAATGTTACTAAATACATAAAGCTGAAGATAGGAATTGCTTGTGAGTGAAGCAATGAAGTCTGCGCACAATATGGAAACTGGAAATCGGAGGTTGTATTTCGAAAATCCTCCACTCTTTTCTTCTGATAGATTGGTGGTTATTTTACCTATTTTATTTTACCTATCTTAAATACAATTTAAGGAACCTAAACAGAAAACTTGTCAGCAATTGATCTGTCCTTTCAAAGAAAAGTGAATGCCAGTGGTTATGTCTACATGGGTACAAATCTCCACTTGATAAAATGCAAATAGGAAACCTCTAAATCAATATAAACTTTCATCATATTTCACTTCAATTGATTCCACATGTTGAGGCTAAGCACAGCTGAGAAAAATCAACTGTAACATCCTAAAATAAGAAGACATCATTTTAAAGATAAAAGTTGTGATATTTAGAAACAGGATTCTTTTCCTGATTTCATTTAAAAAAAACATCTGTGCTCTTGGCTAAAGGTTTCAACTAACAACAGACAATGCTGAAGTTGCACCTTCTGTGCTGGCGAGGTTGTGGATCAAAAGGAACGCTTATGCACTATTGGTGGGAGTGTAAATTAGTTCAATCACTATTGAAAAGTATAGTGATTCCTCAAAGACCTAAAAACAGAACTACCATTCAACTCAGCCGTCCCATTACTGGATAAACACTCAAAGAAATACAAATCGTTCTATCATAAAGACACAGGCACATGTATGTTCATTGCAGCACTATTCTCAATAGCAAAGACATGGAATCAACCTCAACGCCCATCAATGGCAGACTGGATAAAAAAAAAATGTGGCACATATACACCACAGAATACTATATGCAGCTATAAAAAGGAATGAGATCATGTCCTCTGCAGGAACATGGATAGAACTGAAGGCCATTATCTTTAGCAAACTAATGCAAGAACAGAAAGCCAAATACTGCATGTTCTCACTTGAAAGTGGGAGCAAAAAATGAGAACACATGGACACATAGAGAGGAAAAACACAAACTGAGACCTACTAGAGGGCGGAGGGTGGGAGGGGGGAGAGGATCAGGAAAAATAACTAATGAGTACTAGGCTTAATACCTGGGTGATGAAATACTCTGTATAACAAATCCCTGTGACACAAGTTTACCTATATAACAAACCTGCACATGTGCCTCTGACCTTAAAATAAAAGTTAAAAAAAAGAAAAAAAAGAAAAAAGAAAGACTGGAAAGAAGCCAAAGACACCCAGTTTCACCACTATTCTCCAACATAATATGAGAGATTCTGGGTGGCACTATAAAGAAAAAGAAAAGAAATAAGAGCAGGGACTTAAATGGAAGGGATAGTTTCCATTATTAAAATGTATAGTTATCTATACAGAGAAAACCAAGCTATTAGAATTAACAGAGTTCAAGATTTTTGGTACAAGATCTTGTAAAAATTAGTAACATTTTTGATTACAGCAATAACTACTTAGAATTGTAGTAAAAAATATGATATCCACAAAGGCATGAGGTAGAAAATTTAACTAAGAATATTAAAAATAAAATTGCACCTTCTGTGGCTGCCTCTCTTTCTTTTAATTTTAGATCTTTCTTGGCATTCCAAATATAAAGTCTTAATGCCTTTGCAGAATTCAGGCAACATCTTCATTAGATTTGCACTGTGTCTCAAAATAGATTATTTACTAGACATTTTAAAGTAGCTACATAGTAGATATATATACATATAATCTGTCAAAAACATCTGTTACTTCCTCTAAATTTTCTATTAATATTGTCTATAACTTTCCCTGTGTATAAAAATAGAAAACAAGCCTGAAAATGCCATTTTTTTCCTTCAGTTTCTCATTAGTACCAGTGCTCAGGAACAGATACTAGATCATTTCAGCACCTTTGACAAAGTCATCATGCCCAGCCATACACAGTTGCTATTATTACAACTCCTGGGGAATGGTTCAGGATTAGTCCACCCATAATAATGATTTATGAAACCTTTCTCCTTGGTAAATTCTTCTCTCTCAAAATAACTTGTTTAAATTTCATTTTTTTAGCTATGTCTTTCTTACATTATTTTTTTCAAGTTTTCCTTCCATTAAATTCCTAAGCTTTTACTAAAACAATTTCATCCACAGCATATCTGATATGAGAAGAGCTCCATTGTTTCTTTGGAGGAAGACAGCTAGTAAGTTTTAGGTGACTCTTGTGAGGGAAGAAAGAAAAGTGCAGACCTGTGGGCTATATACAGAAAGAAAAGACTGGAGGTCAATAACAGCTTTGTGTATAAAATCTCTTGATTTAATGCTGTGTATAAAAAAATGATAAAACTAGTCATAAACTTCATCAAAGGAAATGAGTGGCAGCAAAAATGTCACAGTTGTGTTAAGTCACAGGCCTGCACTCTCCATAGACCATTTTCTACTTCAAATGAAGGATTGGTGACAGAATTAAGCTAATCTCACATAAAGAGAAGACAGCTGTGAATATCCAAAGTTTGTCTGGACATAAAATTCTAGTTTCCATACTGACTGGCATTTGTATCATTTAAACTAATATTGCGACTGCCCTTCCCCAGGTCAACTGTCACACGCTGACTCCACGTCTCCTTTTCATCACTCCTTGTGAATGTCTTCTTCCTCACTACCACCTGACTGATTTCCTAATCAACACAACCCTTCCAACTCTAAAGTTTGATTTTTAATAGTTTTGGGACTTGATGACTCACCATAAATAACAACTCTCTCTTCCTTTTCTCTTAGTCCCTTAATTCTGACTCTAATCCTCATGCTGGGACTAGAAGCTAAAAATAGACCCCAGACTGGAGTTCTGCCTCAGTAATTTTCCAGCTTGGAGCCCTACCACATATACATATTTTGGCAGTAGGACTTTTATTTTTTAACTTTTTACTTTCAACTAACTTTAGACTTACAGAAATGTTGCAAAAGTAGTACGCAGAGTTTCTATTTATCTCTTATCCAGCTTATTATTAACATCTTATATAACAATAGCAAAATTATCAAAACCGGGAAATTAACATTGGCAATACTATTACCTACAGACATTACTCAAATTGTACAGTTTTTCCACTATGTCTTTTCTTGTTCCTGGATTCTATCCAGGACCTCATACTGTATTTGGTTATTTCTCTTTAGTCTTCTGGAGTCTGTAAGAGATCCTTAGTCTTTGTCTTCTATTACCTTGACACTTTTTTTTTTTTTTTTGAGATGGAGTCTCGCACTATTGCCTGGGCTGGAGTGCAATGATGCAATCTCAGCTCACTGCAACCTCTGCCTCCTGGGTTCACGCGATTCTCCTGCCTCAGCCTCCTGAGTAGCTGGGATTATAGGCGTACACCACCACACCTAATTTTTTTGTAGTTTTAGTAGAGACAGGGTTTCACCATGTTGGCCAGGTTGGTCTCAAACTCCTGACCTCGTGATCCACCTGCCTCAGTCTTCCGAAGTCCTGGGATTACAGGAGTGAGCCACTGAGCCCCACCACCTTGACACTTTTGAAGGATACTGATGACTTATTTTGTTGAATGACTCTCAATTTTGGTTTGATGTTTTCTCATGATGTAACTGAGAGTTTTTGTGAAGAATGCCAGAAAAACTGTGTTGTATCCCTCTTCGTGGATCATAACACAGGGTTTATGATGGTAACATGTTTTTTACTGGTGATATCATTTGGGTACTTGTCTCTGCTC